AGTGAAATCTCAAACTGGAAACCTACAAATAGGAATGAAATCTTGAGTTTCCTTGCTTTATGTATACTTATGTCCCACGTATGAAAGAATGAAATTAGAGAGTACTGGTCATCAGATAGCCTTATAGAGACAAAAATATTCAGAGAGGTTATGCCAAGGAATAGGTTCCAGGCTATTTATATGTATTATTATGGACCTGTGTATTATATGTATCCGATCTGAAAGAGAAAATAAACAAACATTCTATTCTATTCTATTCTATTATTTTGCGGATGTTACATTTCAATAACTCCGTTGTTACTAACCAAACATCACTTGGTAGACTACATAAAATCAATCCAATCTTGTGTTCTTTGAACAAACAGTTTGCAGATACGTTTACTCCATTAGAGAAGCTGGCTATAATAGACGAAACTCTTTTCCTGTACAAAGGAAAGTTGGCCTTCCGGCAATACATTCCCAAAAAAAGGGCCAGGTTTGGAATTAAGGTTTTTGTTTTGTCTGACTGTGAGACTAGCATGGTTATTCACATTTTGCCTTACGTTGGAGCTGAAACACGTTTGAACTTCCCTGGCATAGAAGGTATAGGGATTACCGGGCAAGTTGTGCTCACCCTCTTGGAGCCTTTTTTTTGCCTTGGTCATAAGGTTTACCTTGACAATTGGTACGTCAGCCCTAGCCTAGCAATGGAACTGTATAAACACAAAATAAACATGTGTGGTACTGTATTGCCAGATAGGCAAGGTTTGCCTAAGAAGTTACCCAATGTTAAAACTGGCCAGGTTGACGTACACCACACGGAGGTGATGATGTACGAAAGATGGCAGGACAAGCGGGAGGTGAGGGTTTTGACCACGATGCATACATATGGACTAGAAGAAACTGGTAAAACTAACTGGGAAACTGGATCTAAAATAACTAAGCCAAAAAGTGTTTTAGATTATAATAAGAACATGGGTGCTGTTGACATTGGGGACATGGAGTTGTCCTTCAATGTCACAGCAAGAAAAACCATCAAATAGTATAAAAAATTATTTTTTCACCTTCTAGACGTATCCATAAGAAATGCCCACATTTAAAAAAAGATAAAAACAGGCAAGAAACCCCACCTCTCCGACTTCAGGAAGGAGCTTGTTCGAGAAATTCTTCAGGTCTATTGCCCTACAAGAATCAAACCACAAGGTGGTCGACCATCCTCTGGCGAAACACCACTTCGCCTGACGCAAAGGCACTTTTTGGAGCCCATCCCTGCAATTGCTGGAAATCCTCGCCCAAGAAGAAAATGCCATGTTTGTATGCACACCAAGAGGAGGCCCCAAAAACGGCAGCATACCTATTACATGTGTGCTCCATGTAACACCCCTCTGTGTATCCATCCATGCATGCAAGACTTCCACACGCTACAGCAGTTCTGACAAGTAAGATAGTTCTACACTAATGTTATTTTCATTGGATTTATAATCTGTACTTATACTTAGGTACCTAATGAGTAAAGATTTATCAATATTGTTTGTTTATTGTTGGTTTGTTGCATACTACATACACTTATTTGTTCATGAACTTATTTGCAAATTTTCTCAAAAGGCTGCAGAAAATCAGTTTTGTGTTGTTTACGGCGTTTTATATTGCAGTTTATAAAAAAGTACCTATATAAAATTCAACATGTACCCTATATATTTCTATGCAGGGAATTAAATTCTCTACATAATTGGTATAACTATTAGTCCAAAAAGTGTTTTGCTTATTTTTACTGTGAGCTTACTTTTAAAATTTTTTTTATATAAATATATAGATATTGTATGTATAAAAAAAATGTTATAAATGTTTTACCATGTTTTTTTATATTATTTTCAGATTCTACTGTTTATTCTGAACAAAATAAGTATAAACATTGTTGTAATTGCTCAATTCTTAGATTTTTTATAAATTTTTTAAACAATGTCTGCGAATTCACTAAATAAACCCGGGTTTGGGCTAAGGCCAGTACTAACAAAAGCCGGGATTCAAGAGGTTAACTTACCAGAGCTGAAAGTTTACGATTAGCTGGACACCATGTACATTTTTTAATCGGTGTTAGGTTATTAGAGGTAATGAAATGTAAATATTTCAAGGCAATCAGCAGTGGCTGGCAAAACAGAAATGACAGCACAGCCACATATTGTCATAACATAAAAATATAAATTTAAAATTACACAAGTATTTTATTTTAACACTGATTACTAAATACTGAAATCTGAAGCAAATTAAAGTAAGCTATATGTAGTAAAACACCTCAATTCCATTAAAATCAAGGATAAGTCATGGTCGGATTTTTAAAAAATTTTCAGATAATCACATGAGCACAAAACAAGGGTCTGGATAAACTGGTTTACAGTAAGGCAAACACAATATTTACAGTTAAATCACAATTCTAAATTCAACAGATGTTTAAAATGAAATGCTCAGTGACACTCCAATTATTCAAACTCCAATTATCCGAATCACCGATTATACAAATTGTCCACAATTGAAATCGCTTACAGAAAGATTTCAAAAACCTTAAACCAGGCATAATTAGAATCGTTAATGAAGGCAGAAGCCGTGATCGCGGCAAAATCCTGAACAGGTTGCGTAGTTAGAACATATTATCATCATCTCCTGCGGTCAAAGAAAAAGCACATTGTCAATCCTGTGGTCGCCGCAACATCTTTAATATCTCTCGTGCCTCTGCAGATATTATCATTGTCACCCGACAGACAAAGGAACATATTTTGAATAGCCCATTCACCATTGTCGTGTAGAAATCATCATCGTCTCAAACGGTACGGAAACATTATCCTATTTTCCGCAACAGCAAAAAAATTATTGGACATCTTCTGCAATCTTGTAGACAACATTATCTTTTGTCCCGATCACAGAAAATCATCATAGTCCTCCACAATCGCAGTGAAAGCGTGATTATTGGATAGTGAAATCTTTGCAAACGGGTTCTGCGATTGCAATGGTAAAACCTCTGCTTGACTTGGCCTATTTTTCTTTATAATACCCCTAATTTCTGTAGGCCTACAGTCCTACCATCCAAATGTTTAAACATCTGAATGAGGTAGCCTAAGGTCCCTACTGATTCGGATAGTTCTACTGTACTAAGACTTGCATGGACAAGAGGCAATTAAAAAACAACTTTTAACAGTCAGAAGAAGTCGGATATGAGTATAAATTGTCCTGAGGTCATTAAAAGGAGATCCTACTGTAACGGTTTGTTCCTAAATAAGAAATTTGCTTGGATAGATATAGAATATTTGTAATCTACAGCGAGGTGTTAGCCCGTCCTACGTACAGGAAATTAGGAGTCAGTTAAAACCGTGTACAATTCAGATCAGCTAGTTTACACATATAAAGACAAAGTTTCTTGCAGTTTTAATGTGAAAAATCATCTTGGAAACAAATGTTGTGTGACCAAATATGTTTTTATTCCATCATAGGCCTATACGATATGCATTTTAAATGCGATAATTTTACAATAAAACTGCAATTCTGCAATGTTTACGATGTGAAAAGCGTTGAAGTGAGATTTGCAGCCGATTCGCACAGACGCACACTGATTATAAGTAGCCTACAGTAGAGAGAGTAATAGTCAATTGAGAAGTGTATAGACCTAGTCAACGATACCACCTTCCATAGCACACCTGCCTCTTCCATAATTATTATCACTACAATACAACTACTATACACAATTTCCAGTAGATCTGAATAGAAACGGCCAAAAATAAAACGATAATATCCAATAAAATTCACAGTACACATAAATCGTCACACCTATCCTTTTATATCAATTTCACTGCATTAATTGCTAAATAAATTAGTGTAAACAAAGAAAAGTAAAAACAATAACAGTTTGTTTTGATTCAGCTGTTTGGTTCAAATAACATTCATTTGAAAAAAAGAACTGGTCACATGTAACAGCAATATAAAAAGTAAACACTCTAGTAAAGCTAATGACTTAATTGTCAATGTTTATTATCCATACCGTTATCAGTTCTATCCTTCATAATTACCCACCCTCATTGAATAAATGTACATCGTATTTCCCCATATTAGTTAATTTAAACTACTGTACAATATATTCATAGTTGAAATAAAAGTGATATTTTCACGTTTGGGGATCGCTGATATAGGCACCCCCAAACGTAACCACAACTGAACACGATTTCATAAAAGGATGGTTTGTCTAATTGCAGTATCCTAGGTCAATGTTGACGTTGTGTTCAATCTATGTCATCCACCTGTTTATCTTTGTATAAAACCCGGCTGAGGTTGTGGTGGTATTTTAAAATCGTGATTCCTTTTGAACATCCTAGTATTTTACTATGTATAATTTAATTAATCTGTCATCCTCTTACAGAAGAATTGAGCGTATCAATGATTAGCATTACACATAGTATAAATAAGTCAACCCTAAGTACATCTCTACATCTCTGTAAAGTACATCTCTGTAAAGTGTCTTTACATTTTTATCCAAATGCTGAATTTGTGACACAAAAGCTGAATGTTTACAGCTGTTATGTTAAGCAAATTATTTTATGCCAAAAGAAATAAAATTGTGATAAATAAAAAAAAATCTAGTTTAGAATCTTAGCGTCGGCTGCTAGACTTTTTAAAAATTAAAACTTAATTTCTAAAAAACTGGGACCCTAAACTAAAATTATGGCTTCGACATTCCCTAGTTCTCAAAATTATCTTTCTTGCAACACAAAAATCATGAAAATCCGTCGAGTGGTTGATTCAGAATCGTGAAATAAAAAAACACTGTTTCATTTTAATATTATAGATAGGACTATATTATTATGAGAACAAAATACCAAAGCTAAAGCAATGCCTACTAATCTGTAATGGTCATTAAAAATTCCAACACATTAACAAGATACAGCGTACATGTTACAGTCAACATTGTGTTCTTCTGACGGTTAGTAAACGGTTTTTACAGTAACTTATTGATTAGGAATAGTGTGTAAGGTACTTACTTGTTTAGCCAATGTCTGAGGATTCGTTACAGCCAATTTAGCAAATACAGATCGGAGAAGATTCTTCTTCAAAAAGCCCCTTGTAACACTCCACTACCATCAACTGCTGTAAGAGAAAAAATCTTTTAAGGAAGGCAATGATTTTAATGATTCAAAGATGAGTAAACATTTCATAGCTACCATTTCCCATCGCAGTATAGTCCCACTATTCTGAACTAACTGGGACCATACCCCATTTAAACTAGCTAGCCGGAATTTGGAAAAGGTTTCTTAAGCCTACACCTTAAGTATTGATGGAAAAGTCATCAAAATTGCAGTTGATATTTGTGTAGCTGCGTTTGTTAAAGATCTTGGCATTAGGGCTGAAATCCCTGACAATATCTCAATATGGAATGACAATATCTCAATTGCTACAAAATTTTAGCGTTAAAAGCAAATCTATTGTTAATAGAGATAACTAGTGATCGATTTGCGGAGGAACGCAGCAGAGCGGAGTTCGGACACAATCTTTCGGAAAGATAAAGTTACTGGCATAAATAGGTACTAAACATATTAAACCGGTTACAGTTCCGGCATCTTATTTTTACAAATCAAACAGTGGTTATAACTAACCTCGTCAGAGATTGTGGTTATTAATACCTTTGCCAACATTTGTAGCATCATCGCCATTTTACCACACCGCCAGACCACTTTGCTTACATTCATGGAATATTATCACTGAATTCACTACAGTTCCTGGGTATATCACAAGATTTGTCACTTATGTAACATCATAACTTGATTCTATAAATAACTAAATAAACTATATTCTGTTGGGACAAATGTGCGTCCTAACTGGGCAAACGTTTGCCATGAACATGTTCTTTGAACATTTAACTTGTTCAACTAACAATATTTGATTGTTGTAAACCAGTAAGTTATTTGGGTTTTTTCTGTTGTTTCTGCTGTGTATTACATTATTAGATATCTTCAGTGGTGACAGAAACAATTGAAGAAGGTATGAATGTGGGCAGCACTCCACTGTAATTTTGTCTATTCTTGATTTTGTAGCTTTCTTCTCATGGGTTCCACAGTAAACTATGTCATTTATACATCTTAGTTAAAATAACTAAAACGTCCCTAATCTGGTCTTTCATTATAATGACACAGAATGACTTAACTCTACACAAACTTTCACTCTAAAAGCATAGAAAAAGGCTGCAAGGGGCTGTTCTCTCTGAACTGGACAAATGTTAGCTTAAAAAGAGAATGAGGCATATAGGCCTAGCCTATGCCTCCTTATGTCTATGGTTGAATGAACATCAATAAGTTAGTCGATGTTTTTTACATCGATGGAAGGCTAGGTTACCGATGTTTTTGTTACATCAATGTTTTCGTCAAACATCGTTGTTTTTGGCCAAGTATTGAGATATCGATGTTTTCCATAACTAAATCATTAGTTTTAGAAGTATTAGTATTTTTTGGATTGAAAGGCTGATGAAATATTGAATCCAAAAAAATTGCGAACTGGACTAGACTTAGACAAGGGAAGAGTCGCTGAGATAACTATCTATTTGTGAGATGCTTGTTCCAAAATGCTACATATAGATCAATTTAAGTAGCCTATATTACTTATATTTGGTAATAAATTTAAGCGGCAGCACTCCTGCTCTCCAGCATAATACTGATAATTTGTCTTGGAAATGTGAAAGAGAACTGCCAATTTCGAAAGTTTAGTTACCATTATAGACTAACTAACACTTTAAGGGAGTGTGATTAATCAGTTGTAGTAGAGTATGCTACCCTTCTAGGTTAATTAGCTAGAGCTGACGAAAAACTGAAAAAAACATAAAATTACATCAATGTTTTAACCCCAAAAACATCAATGTTTTCGCAATGATAATATTGATACATCGATGGTTGACCTAATTGATGCTAAATCCTAGTCTATGGTATTTTGTGCTGTTTTGTATTTTATTAACCGATTATCATTTAAAATACCGTATGTTACACAGGGGTGTGTTGCTAAGTAGCATGTAACGTCTCACACTTCGGTGCGGTAGGAACGGGTTTGATTCCTGGCACATCAACATTATTAAGGATTGGAGCGCTTTCCTGAAAAGCCTTTGAACAACACTCCCTGTCTCCCTTTGAAAAATGCCACAATAAAACAAACAAACAAACAGATGCAAAATCCATGCTAGTTTTAGCAAATGAAACACTGAATAAGCAAAAAAACACATAGGTACCTGCTGTTAAATCACAATCCTGGGATTTGGGACTTTTTCATGATTGCACCACTTTGAAATCCATCTGCATCACACCAACTAAAAAATAAAAAACAACTCAAAAAATGTGTATTAGGCCTATGGGAAATTATGTCGGAGAAGGTGACCAAGAGAACCATAGTAATTTATATATCTAATATAAATATATCACTAGAAACTAGATTTTTATCTGAAAACAAAATTGGTACAAAATATTTCTGCTGTCACATAAACTAATAAACTAGGATCATTTGAATTGTATTTTACTGTACACTGCCTCTTGTGGCTTATCTCAGTCGCCATTACTGTGTTAAGTGAATTGACAATCGTGAACAAGAATGATTGAAAGGATCGTCTTGGGATGGGAAGAAGAAGAAACCTAAGATGACAAACATTAAGTTTGAACAAAGAGGACAAAGAGGTAGAGGCATTTAAATAAATACAACTGAATGTTGATTATGAACTATTTAATCGGTTCTTATTTAGACATGTGAGGTACGTAGGTTGGGTGTTATGTGGATTCGTGACTGTTAAGTGTTTTGAAGTTAGGCCTAGGTTAGATTAGGAAGATAAAGTTTAGGTTATAATGGATCGAGTTGTTGATTTATGACTGTTTTTGCACATTGTAAATAAGTGCTAAACACAACAAATATTCATTTAAATACCCCCGCCGCAGCAAACCTGCCGACTAAGCGAATTTCCATTTGTCTAAATTGATTTTCAATTAAATATATTTAAATAACATTAGGTTTAATGAGTACCTAGGTTTGCTGCTACAAAGAAACTAATAAATTGTGTTTTAAAAAAAAATATTGATAGCTTAGGATAAAATAAATAAAACTTTGCCAAGTTTTATCAAAATATATCCATAAACAAGCAATCTACAACATTTGGCAATATTCTCCATAAGAATAACATGGGAATTTTAAATTGACCATTTTTTTAGTTTTCTCCGTAACCAATAACCGTACAAAAACACTTTGATATACTGAATTGTTTGTTTTTTAAGCTCTTTAAGAAGGTTTAGTGGAAAATTGGGAAATTTTGTGTTTTGAGGGTCAAAAGTGAGAAAAACCAATTTTTACCCCATAAAACCCTGTTCCCATGGTCCGATCATGCTGGATCGCGAACTCATTCAAGTTTATCCCGCCTTACACCTTTAAACCAAATTTCATCAAAATCGGATAAAAATTACTCAAGTTATCGTGTTTACGGACACATATATATATACAGGGTGCGGCAGAAAGAACTCCCCTATTAGGAAAGCTAATAAAAACAAAACCAAGTAAGATATGACATTTTTATTGCTATTAACGAAAAACACACATTATGCCATTTTAAAAAATATAAAATTTTAGTGCTTTAAATAAAATGTTGTTTTAATAATCGATAATTTAAAATTATCGTGTTTTAAATAAAATGTCATTTAAATGGCGGCCTCCAGTGTTAACACATTGGTTCAAACGTTCCCGGTAGTTGTCCATTACCTTTCGGGTCATGTCGGGTGAGATGGCTGCAACTTCATGCCTTATTCTTTCCTTCAGGGCTTCCAAACTTTGAGGGCTATAATTGGGCCATACTTTTTTGAAGAAAATGGCGCGACTGTGACTGTGAACAGCGATCGTTATTGTGCGATGCTCCGTACTTTTTTGCAGCCAAAACTCGCTGATATCTTTCCTGTTCGGGCCAATGTATGGTTCCAGCAGTATGGTGCTACTTCACACACGTCCCGTCAATCATTGACATTGGTCAAGGAAATGTTTCTTGGCCTTGTCATTTCAATGCGCGGTGACATCGGATGGCCACCGCGATCGCCAGACTTGAGCCCGTGTGACTTTTTTTGTGGGGCTATCTAAAGTCTAAGGTATACGAACATCGCCCTCAAAGTTTGGAAGCCCTGAAGGAAATAATAAGGCATGAAGTTGCAGCCATCTCACTCGACATGACCCGAAAAGTAATGGACAACTACCGGGAACGTTTGAACCAATGTGTTAACACTGGAGCCCGCCATTTAAATGGCATTTTATTAAAAACACGATAATTTTAAATTATCGATTATTAAAACGGCATCTATATATATAATACGCTAAGTCGATTTTTGTAAACAGAACTCCTCCCTCATTTTTGGACCGATTTTGATGATTAAAGTGTCAAACAAATGGCCCTGATCTGTAGTTTTGCAAAGTGTTTTTAGTTTTTTGATATCTTTATTAGTTTGGGCAGGATCTTCCATCAAAGTTGGGTTTTCTCCCATAAGATTAACATGGGGGAATCTAAATATTTAATTGGAAACTTTGTCTCCACTAATTTGAGAGAACGACTGGGCATAGAAACTTGGTAGAGGTGTCCAAAGAAAGGTCTTGGTCTGTAGATGAGTTATCAAAAGAAAAACGAAGTAAATTCGCTTAGGGCTCTGCCTCAGAAGCCTTTAAAGATCCCTCCACAGATTTGTTTACGTTTTGGCCATGTGGATAATACTTTTTAATGAAACAGCTGTTAATTTTAAAATTGTATTTTAAACAACACTCATTTATTGGGAGTTAGAATTGTCCAAAAGAAGTATTTTCAATGTCATTTTCTGATTTTAAAATTGATTTTCTTCTGTATTATTTCATTTGCATTATTAGTTGCAAATGAAGCCGCACGACCATCTATATGAGGAGGCCCCTAACAGTTCAAGAATAAAATCCAACTTCACTTCAAGTATATTCCACTACACCTAACATTCTGTAGAGAGATTCAGGGGTGCCCAGAGGGGGGGTACTGTGGCGCGTTCGCGCCACTGGAATTTTTGGGGGGGACTTTTTTGCGGGGATTTTGGGGGGGATGTTTTTTGCTAGCTGTCATAATGAATGACAAATTTTGTATAAGCAGCCCGGAAAAGTGTTTCTAAGTAGCTCACTATCACCACCAACATTTTGCCATTCGTAATTAAGATTTGCTTCTAAGAAAGGTAAAAACGCACCTTGTCAGACGATCCTTAATATACCAGTGTCAGTGTCGAATTTTATTTGCTACATATGTTTTGGTGGTTCTTTACCTTCACCACACAAAACACGAATCGATTACAGATAGGCCTATCAATTCACGCGTATATATTGCCGTCGTCAGAACTGGAAGTAAACTGAATCAGGTTCAGGTTATGACGGACAGACGTGGTCTCTGGATTGTCGTCTGCATTGTCACCAGCTGATATAGGACTATTGTAGTGACTGAGAAGAGTGTTAAAGTATAATGGGATTCATAATTAATTGAGTGTTTTCACTCAAAAATTTTGCGCTGTCCCTAGTTTTATGTATTTATATATTTCAAACTCCTCAAAGTATTTAATAAATTTCCTTTCGTGCAGTACTGTAGAATTTCGAGACCATAATTTATATCCAGCAGATAAATTGGTTATTATTGTCAATAATTTTAAATGGAAAACTCAATTATGAATCCCATTATATTTTCAACACTCTCCTCCGTCACTACAACTAGTCCAATATCAGCTTTTGATAACACAGACGACAATCCAGAGACCACGTCTTTCCGTCATAACCTGGTTCAGTTTACTTCCAGTCCTGCCCGCGGCAATATACTCACGTGAATTGATAGGCCTCTCTGTTATCGTTTCGTGTTTTGTGTATAAACAGATTGTCTGACAAGATGCGTTTCTACCATTATTAGTCATAAAAGGCAATCCTGGGGCTATCAAAATTAATTATAAGATTACTTCGTCACAAAAACCTTTTGTGGGTATTTTGCCTGGCGATTTTTGTAGAGTAAAATCGAGTTTTTGGAGTGTGTTGTTTGGAGTGGCGGTGTTTGTAGAGCCAGGGAGTGGCGAGCAACAAGTCTGTCTTATTTCGTGACTGCCTATAATTTTGAAAAAAAAACTTTTTGCCAAAGTATTATTAATGCATTTTTAAAGCGGTTGGATTTCTTATAATTCTTCTCTGAGATTCTTTCTCTAGGTAAAATTTAACGCCACCTAATATACTGTACAGTTACAATACTGTGTTGGAGTAGAGTAATTCACCTAGTATATTGTTGTACGTTTTGAAGACGTTGTCTATTGCAATACTGAACACATGTTAGCTGACAATAGAGATTCTGAAATGTAAATTGAAACACTTCTAATTCGTCCATTAGTTAGATATACCTAATGAAGTATTGTTAAATGTTGTTCGTTTCCTATCAAATATTTAATTTTTATTATCAGCAAGTTTGTTTTTCTTTACCTCAAGTTTACTAAATACTAAATTGGAATGCTCGTTTTATGAGGTAAAGGGAAAATTGTCAGATAAATTGGTAGGGGGAGGGTAGGTTTAAATAGACGGCAGCATAAATTGGGGGGGGGGGAGAACTACTCCTTTGGCTTGGGGGGGGGGGGGGTTGCGCCTCTGGGTTTGGGGGGATGGGCACCTCTGGATTATATTGACAACTTTATGTAATTGATTGGGCTGAGACAGCTAACTGACATCCCCCGGTATGTCAAGGAATTCCAGCTTTAACAGTAACCCTACAACAAATTTCTCAAATCATTGCTAGAGGGTTATTCATTGGCACAGAAGTATGATATGAACTGAAGTGACCATGTGATGAAGGAAAACTCAAACTTACACTGTAACGGATATCCGTTTGAAGTTATACCGTGTCTTCCCAACAAACAGATATTTTTTTCAAATAAAATCTCAGATTAATCTGCATTACACTGATGGGATCACGGAAGTGTTAAACTACAAAAGATCCACCAATACGATTTGAATACTGTTTAATGGTTCTTCCAAAGGAAGGGATACCAGATAACATACTAATATAATAACTCTGATGACGTACAGTATGGGGAATGTTTTATTCATTGAATGATCAACCATATTTTGGTAACTTAGGCAATTGATATCATTATTGTTTTTACACTTATTAATCTTTAAACAATCCTAAATGCTCAAAATATTTATAATTTCACTAAATTTATCGCAGCAGATGAATTAGCGTACGCCTTGAAAGTAACCGTCGATTTCGACGGGTTTCACCTAGTTTTATTTAAAGCACTATAATTTTATATTTTTTAAAATGGCATAATGTGTGTTTTTGGTTAATAGCAATAAAAATGACATATCATATCTTACTTGGTTTTGTTTTTATTAGCTTTCCTAATAGGGGAGTTCTTTCTGCCGCACCCTGTATATATATATACATATATAAAAATTTGAACGAATGGTGTTTTTGGCCTCTGGGGACATAAAAATGAAAAAGTAAATCGGTCCCGGGCCTAAGTGTTACCATGAGACCTAAGGTAATAGCTACTTCCCTATAGGGAAATTCGCTAAAAAGCAAGCATTTTTTTATTAGCCACCTAACCTACAGAGTGAGGCAGTTAGATTAATGGTTAATGTTTAATGTATACAGTATCTAAAATACTAAAATGCTATGTGAAGGGAGTGTCAAACAAGCCCAAGACATAAGTGTTGATGGAAGTAGTAAAAGGCTAGCATTGCGGAGTGTGGGAACCGTTTGTGGCTGTTAGATTAATTGTCCTATAACTGCAACCTAAAATACTATGGGAAGGGAGGGAAACAGATTTATGACGTAGGAAGTGATGAAGGAAATAGTTGGCAGTACTGAGTGTGGGAACTGTCTGCGGCAGTTAGATTAATGTTGGCCCTATCTGCAATCCTAAAATGCTATGGGAAGGGAGGGAAACAAGTCCACGGCATAGGAAGTGGCGAATGAAGCGGTAAATGCGAGCAGTGTTCAGTGTGGGAACGTTTATGGCTTTCACTGCTATGAAAGCAACTCTAGTAAGTAATTGTTTAGAGTCAATGTAAATGGTAGTCATACAATTCAGACGGAAAACTCCTACTCCCACATGAGTTGGTTTGTGTTGAGTAAAGCCGCGTTTACACCGGAGTCAGGAACACATTTTTACAACTGATGTCCTAAAAAACCAAGAAAAAATAACTTACTTTTTAAACAGAAACAATTTGTGTTGGAAACAGTTTTTTGATATTTACCTACAACAGAAATTTTGTTTATTAGAAGTCGGTAACTTAAATATCTGAGGGTGTTCCAATCATAAGAAAAACATTTGTTATGGAAAAATGGTTCTGTACTTCTACATTGTTTACAACACTTCCCCGCTACCCTTCGCGCCTATCCACCACCACGTGACTATCTCAAAAAGGACTGACTACGTGTTTTCGGGAACGTTGATTAAATTGTTTCCAACAAAACCGAAGAAAAGTGTTAGGTACAGTATCTGAAAACTGAAATAAGCTTTTGTTTTGGAAACAAGTGTTAAGGTACTAACAAAAAGTTCCAAACATTTTGTTTCAAACTCCAGTGTAAACGCGGCTTCAAGTAGGCTATCTTAACTTACTGGCTTTTTTGGTAATGGGGGCGAAAATTTAAATCTCGCCCCAAGTGTCTATTTCCCCGTTTACCTTTTACGTTTGATGTCTTCACCACAATCCGTAGATCAGGGAATAATCAAATCATGGTTCTTCCGTCTGAACGGGTTTTCGCTATATTTTCACGAAGTGAGCTGGCGTATGTGTGTATGAATGTTCTTCTACGTAGGCCTACTTAGAATGTTACTTGGATGTTGTAATATGGTCTATTGGTGAGGTAGGTATTTTGGGTGTTGGACAAATGTTGTGTTGTGTAAACGTTTAAATTGTTGTGGTAGGTAGCAAGTTGTAGAATTTTGAGGCAGTAGGCCTAACTTATATTGTGGTGTATTGCTAAATTTAATGAGTCTATGTTGGAGTAGTTCTATGTTTTCCACCCCTCAACTGCGAGCCCTCGGGGCAGCCTGGCATGACAGAATACTTAACCCTCCAAGTGTCTCTAGTTTTGGTCTTAATGTTCGCCCATTTATTGCGCAATCACAGGGTTTTATTAAAATGTATCTTAGACACTTAAAAACAATGTAAAGTAGGCCTATACTGTTTTATAGGCCTATATCATTTTGTTTGGAAAATTATGGGCTTCAATGTAACATATAAAACATTACAACAAAAATTTTCAAAAATTTTTGTGGGGTTAACATTTCTCAAAAATTACAAAATAAATGAAAAAAATTATGTTTGAACACAATAAATTGTAACAATTTAGGCCTATAGGTCTACAAATATTTTAAAATAGCCACTTTGTTCAGAATTTTATGAGGATTCCAAAAATATAATAATATAAGGAAGTAGGTTTGCAAAAAAATAAGTTATGGGCAAAAAACAGATTTCGGTAGGTCTACATAGCGTTTAGCTAAGAAAGCATAGCCTAACCATACCTAGGAATCTGGCTGATTACATTTATATATCACAACCTAAGTACTTCTTCAGGATCATCAACCAGCCCTTCAAAATCACTTAAATCTTCTTATAATGCACCACGTATATCACTACTTTTGATTTTTAATACTAAAACAATGATAAACGTAATAGAACACATCAGTCATCGGTGCGAGGTTAACCAAGCTGTTTACAAATACGCACGTCAGCTGTCTGCTACAATATTTCCGGAACTAAAATGAAAAGCGTATAGAAACAGACATCAGGAGAAAGCTCTGAATCTGCTGAAAAAAACTATACCTAACTCGATCCAGTTCAATCCGATTCAGTCAGTCCCAGAGCCGTCGCCATAAACAGTGTTTGTGAGTCGCAAAAGCGCTACAACTACTAACACTACCTACTTCTTCAGGATCATCAACCAGCCCTTCAAAATCACTTAAATCTTCTTATTGGTGCACCACGTATATCACTACTTTTGATTTTTAACACTAAAACAATGATAAACGTAATAAAACACATCAGTCATCGGTGCGAGGTTAACCAAGCTGTTTACAAATACGTGTCAGCTGTCTGCTGTCTGCTACAACAATATTTTCGGAACTAAAATGAAAAGCGCTTAGAGACAGACCTCCAGAGAAAGCTCTGAATCTGTCAAATAAAACGATAGGCCTACCTAACTCGATCCAGTTCAATCCGATTTTGTCAGTCATAGAGCCTTCGCCGTAAACAGTGTTTGTGAGCCGATGCATCGACACAAAACACTAGCCTACACAAAGTGTGTTATGTGTCGAAGCATCGACAAATAACACTCGGAGGGTTAAATTATCACAAGGCCTAATAAAGTATTGTACCTATCAAAACCAACTAGGCCTAATTCACGGTTAGGTAAAACTAGGCGAATGCTTAATTTAGGCCCTAACTCAGGCCTAGTAGGCTAAGTGGCGTACAAGAAAATGGGAATTTGTAGCTTGTATAACTTAAGTATGATTATCCTGCTAAGTTAGATCTACTTATCATGATTGAAGAAAGTTCTGGGTTAAGTAGAGAAATGAGACTTACTTCATCCAAGTTATGGTTGAGTTGAGACTTAATACTAGACGATTAGACTAGCCTAGACGGACATTCCACTTCCACAATCCACACCACACGTTGTACGTACACACACATGTACCGGTACGTCAAGGTGAAGTACAACACAAGAAGACAAGGTGAAAAAATAACCCAATAACAACTTTAAGGTTGTAAACAAACCAAGTGCAATATAATAAGTTAAAAATGTTTCACAAGTGGTGTAGGTGTAAGTTAGTGAGTCCACCCAAAAAAAATTTTGCCTCTCACTAGCCTAGTCCACTAGTCACTAGACTAGTTCTAAGTAATAGGCCAGGCCTAGCCTATTATTATTAGTCCTTTCCTTACCTTCTTAGTTAAGTTAGTACGTTTGTAGGATTGTAGACTTGATTAATATCAAATTATCTATTCAATTCAAATAGTTTCCTTCCTTTCCTCAACCATAGAGCCACACACAATGTTCACGCCTCACCAGTGTTGCCACACTGGAGTTGGAGTCTAAACCGGGTCTGACTTAGGGGAGGTACAAATGAGGCATTTAGTTCAAAATTCGTCCGTGAACAGCGCTGTAGTAGAGAGCACTTTGGCAATGAAGGTTTTACACTAGTCGCAAAAATAGTTCTGTTCATAAAATAAAATTATAAATGCCTCAAATTCAATTTTACTATTTTTTTATTATAAAATTAAACTATCATAGCCTAACCGAACTAACCAAACTTGCTGATAAAGAAATAATATAACAAAAGTTTAGTAATCGGAAAAATAATTCTTTTTATTAAATAAAACTAGAAATTGTTTAATTATTAAAATTTTATAATGACTTAATAATAAAATTAAACTGTAATAACCAAACCAAACCAACCAAACTTGCTGATAATAAAAAAATCTTGGACAAAAAGTTAATGCTACCAGCAGGATTCGAACCCGGGACCTTTAGTATATCAGCCCGGCACGCTAACCAATAGCCGACCGAGGCCGATGGCTGTTTAACGTTTTGTTACGGTAATGGCGTTCCCTCAGCTAATAAGAAGCCCTCAGCTGTCATCGTAGCCTCTTCTATACCTCCCCTGAGTAAATACCGTCTAAACCTTCGCTAAATCATCACGATGTTGTCCCCTGGCGCTGCGGAGTGGGGGAAATGATTCTCCCTCCACCTCCCCTCTAGACGGCGTCCAAACAAGCCCGCGTTGTTTTACATGTATATCATATGCCTTATGCTGCAGTTTTTCAATAAGTTAAAAAATGAATATTTATAAAATTAAACTGTCATAAACTAACCTAACCAACCAAACATGCTGATTATATAAAAAAATATATAAAATAATAATCGAATGAAGGTTTACTAATCGAAAAAATAGTTCTGTTCATAAAATAAAATTATAAATGCCTTGAATTCAATTTTAGAATTTATTAATTATAAAATTAAACTGTCATAACCTAACCAAACCAACCAAACTTGCTGATAATGAAAAATCGAACAAGGTTTACTAATAGAAAAAAAATAGTTCTAAAATTATAATAGCTCAAATTGAATTTTATAATGTTTTAATTAACAAATTAAACTGTCATAACCTAACCAAACTAACCAAACTTGCTGATAATGCAAAAATCTTAGACAAAAAGTTAGTGGTACCGAGAGGATTCGAACCTGGTACCTTCAGATCCTCAACCCGGCACGTTATCCTTAGACCACCGAGGCCGGTGTCTACAAACCGTATCGTTGCGGTAATGGTGTTCCCTCAGCCAATAGAATGCTTTGCTTCCCCCACTCCGCAGTGCCAGGGGACAACATCGTGATGATTTAGCGAAGGTTTAGACTCTAGTGTGTTGCCACCACGTTGTTATGATTTTACCCTAAAGGCGGGCTAAAATTGCCCTAAATTACCCTAAATCTACTTTGAGTTACCCTAAATGTTAATATTTGCGTTTAATACTATATAAAATCATATAAATCCTACATAAGATGGTTAATTATACTAAATGAAGTTCCAATATCAATCAATTTACGTAAAATTATACTCAATTCTAAAAAACCACCCGAAAGAAGAACAAAATGTTGATATTGATCAGCTCTATCAACTATCGTATAACGAAAAATATCGAATCAAGAAGTATCGAATTTTTTTACTGTATCGACCCATTACTACTGTTTTTGGACAATCATATCTTTAAAATACAGTACGGTACCACCAAAGCTTTAATCTATACATAGTACAGTCCAACCTCAGTATAACGAATCTGAAGGGACCGAACTGAATATTCGTTATATCAAGGATTTTGTTAAAACGAGGTTCGTTATACAGGGTGTCCCATAAGTAAAGTGCCAAACTCTGGGAATAGGTTCTATGGGTCAAAATAAAGAGAAAATCAAGAATAAAGTTTTTTTCAAAAACGCTTCGTTTACCAGATATCCGCCATTTTGTATTTTTTACTAAATAATTTATATCTTCTGATTTTTTCAACCGATCCTTATAAAACTCGGTAAGTATGTTTAGATAAAAGAGACCTACTGTAGAAAAAAAATTCAACTTGGTCCAATTTAAAATTTCAAAATGGCGGCCATTTTGAACATTTAATCTAAAATTACGGGAAAACGGTAAAAAATACAAAATTGTACTAAGAACACTTTTTTTTATAAAATTTTATTTCCAATCTATCAACACCAAAAACATGAAAATCGAACAAAAAATAACCGAGATACATTAAAATGTGTGTTAAGAGGCAGCAAAAAATCCATTTGTTGTAAATAGCCCCAATCACCAGATCAGCTGTTTTTAGAAAATAATTGTAATTGGTATAATTCATATTTTTTCAACCGACCTGTATAAAACTCGATAAAAGAGACCTACTGTAGAAAAAAATTAAACTTGGTCCAATTTAAAATCTGAAAATGGTGGCCATTTTAAACTTGTAATCTAAAATTAACAAAACAATAACCGAGATACATTGAAACCATTTATTGAGTGACAACATAAAAAATGAGGAAACTAATTAAATACAAAATCAAATCTTAACAAATGATAGCTTTTTTGAAAGTTATCAACTACAACAAATGTTCCATGTGTCCTCCATTCATTTCTACGACACAAACCATCCTCTTTCTCATCGACTCCCTCACTCTTTCAAATACCCCAGGCTTTTGTCTTATCACTTCACAACCTGCTACAATTCGTTCCCTTAAGTCCTCAATACTGTCAACAGGGGTATGGTAAACCAAAGATTTTAAATAGCCCCATACAAAAAAGTCCAGGGGATTAAGGTCAGGAGACCTGGCAGGCCATGGGATGGGCCCCCCACGCCCTATCCATTTATTTCCAAACACTTGATTTAAATGTCGCCTTACATCCAATGAAAAGTGTGGTGGCGCACCGTCTTGCATAAACCACATATTGTTTCTCAAATGAAGGGGTAAGTTTTCTAGCAATCCGGGAAGATCTTGTGTTAAAAAGTTTAAGTAAGACACACCATTAAGTCGGTTGGGTAAAAACCATGGCCCTATAAGATAGTCCCCAACAATGCCTATCCAAACATTGAGAGAAAAGCGCACTTGATGCCTTCTTTGTGATATCTCATGGGGATTTTCATCGGCCCAGAAGTGATTATTATGAAAATTAAAAATTCCTTCTCTCGAGAACCCAGCCTCATCGGTAAATAAAATGTTGGAGAGAAACAGAGGAAGTAATGCGATCTGTTGCAAGAACCATTGACATAAGTTAATACGGGGTGGAAAGTCCCTATCGGTTAGGCATTGCACCCTTTGGATATGGTAAGGATACAACTGCTGATTATGTAGAATCCGCCACACAGAACTTTTTGAAATACCATGTTCAAGCGATATTCTTCTAACACTAGTACTTGGGTCTTCTTCCACGGCCGTCAAAACTCTTTCTTGATTATTTAATGTATCTACAGAAACAGCCCGTCCGGTCTTCTCAGTGAATTTTAGTGTTCCTCGTTCCCTCAAATTCCTGTGAACATTTACAAACACTTTCCTACACGGAATTCGTCGGTTGGGGAACGTTTCTGCGTAAAGGCGGCATGCCTCACGCGAATTCCCATTACCTAAGCCGTAAAAAAAATGAATATCAGCTAGCTCGACATTAGAATAGCTATGGTTCGGCATTTAAATAAACTTAGAAAATATCAACCTAACCTGATCACAATGATGATGTTTAAAGTAAACAGAACAATAATAACAACAATGCAACAATGCAACTCAACAAACACATGTTTTTCAATCAGCTGTTCAGCTGATTGGGGCTATTTACAACAAATGGATTTTTTGCTGCCTCTTAACACACATTTTAATGTATCTCGGTTATTTTTTGTTCGATTTTCATGTTTTTGGTGTTGATAGATTGGAAATAAAATTTTATAAAAAAAAGTGTTCTTAGTACATTTTTGTATTTTTTACCGTTTTCCCGTAATTTTAGATTAAATGTTCAAAATGGCCGCCATTTTGAAATTTTAAATTGGACCAAGTTGAATTTTTTTTCTACAGTATGTCTCTTTTATCTAAACATACTTACCGAGTTTTATAAGGATCGGTTGAAAAAATCAGAAGATATAAATTATTTAGTAAAAAATACAAAATGGCGGATATCTGGTAAACGAAGCGTTTTTGAAAAAAACTTTATTCTTGATTTTCTCTTTATTTTGACCCATAGAACCTATTCCCAGAGTTTGGCACTTTACTTATGGGACACCCTGTATAGAGGTTAGGTTTGCAGGAATTTCGCTAAGTCGAGGTTCAGAACCAGCGTCGGTCAATATTAGGTCGGGATTTGACCTCATTAAAATACAATTAAAGTAGCATAGGCTACAATACTTTACAGTACAGTGTTTAGTTTACACTGTACAGTAGAACCTAAATTATCCGGCATAATAAAGGTGAGGGATCTTGAATATTGCGCAATCATGACAATGGCATTGACCTTGGTACAGGCTAAAAACTGTAGGTTTAAAATCACAGCTTGTTCTAACCCTCCTAAAACCTAGCCAAACCCTGTATTGCGTAGTCATAAACCACGTAAAGAACAAAACAATAGGTCTACAGTAGAGTTTAGTAAGCTACTGCTCGCGATAGGCCGGTAGGCTACTTACTTACATTACAGTACTGATTTATCACAACAGAGGAATGTCAATAATAATCATTAACTATAGCATTGGTGTTGCTAGTTGAAACAAATCGTATCGAAAACAATAAATTATTAGATAAGTCATTATAAAAGTGTATAATCATAGCCAAATTAAGGATAATAAAAACACTCGTAAAAGGAATGTTAAAATAACGATGTTGCTATTCTTTCTCTTTGGTTTTGTTTTTATATTCTTTCTTAGGTTTCTCTTTATCCAAAAATTGTACAATTCACCATAGTTATCCCGTATCGCCCAATCACAGCTTACTAAACATTACGTCGTCTTCAGTCCTCCCTCAGTGAATGAAATCAGTTCTCAGTTGC